GGGGAGGAGGGGCTCGCAGGCTGTCGCCTTGGTAACGGGGACCGAGGCGCCCCGCTTCACCCGGGTCACGACGGGCCGTCAGCCAGTACCCGCGGGGTTCACAGCCTGGCCCCCTTTCCTGGTCTCCTGTCCCTGGTGTCCCTTTGCTCTTTCCTGTTTCCTTCACTCCGACCTCACTGACGACCAGGTTCAGACAGTTCCCGTTGGACGCTTCCAGGTTTTCCCAGGAGGGAGGGAAAACGGAGGCACAGGCGCGCCCCAGGGGACCCCCGCCCTCATAAAGAGCCCTTGCCCCGCCCGAGCGACATGCTCCGCGCCCCGTGGGCACTGGAGCCAGCGAGGTTCCGCCACTCCCCTGGCATCCTCTCACGCCAGCTGTGGAATAATGCCCACTGTCGGGCACTGCCTTCCCCAGCTGTGACCCAGAAAACAGTAGCACTTGGTCGTGGCCCTCAACGACGAGGTGCCGGGAGAGGGGGGGCAGCAAGGCGAGAGGACCACTGGGGAGAGGCTGGAGGCTGGGAGGCCTCCAGGGCCCTTTCCCGCTGCCCCTGGTTCCCTGAGCTGGGGATGCCTCCAGGGTGATTGGCAGCTCTTTGTTTCAGCCCCCCCTCACCCGCCGGCTGGCCCCCCCTCCAACTCCCCCTTCCAGTCCCTCCGCCCCCCGCTCCTGCTCCCTCCGCCTAGCCTTTTCCCCTCCCAGCCGCCTGCCTGCCAGGGGTAGTGAGCCGGCTGAGCGGCATGGAGACACAGGGACTTCGGGGGGCCCTCGCTCTTCTCCTCCTTTGCACTTTCTCATCTGCCAGTCAGAACCTGCAGGGTAAGCCGGTCTCCGTCCTCGGCCTCCTCCCCGTTTGCCCCCAGCCTAGTAGCAGGGAACATGTGGGCCAGGGTAGAAGGCAGAGTCGTGAAATTGAGCGGGAGGGAAGCAGAGTCGGTGAATCATGGCCCGTGGGGAGGAGTGAACAGCAGAGGGGGGTAGGTGAGTGGGGACTGGCCAGGGCCAGCATGAGGCCAGGGCGCAGGGCTCAGGAGGTCAATGCTAGGGCTGCCCGGCGGAGTGGTGCCCGAGCATCGCGCAGTGCCCCAGGGTCGGAGAGAGCAGCGCGAAGGTGGGTGCACCGTGTGGGTCCCTGGGCTGCTTGGTCCCCTGGCTGCTGCTGGCTGTCCGAGGACAGAGTGGGGGTGGGGACGGAGAGGTCCGGGCTCTCCCGGAGGTCTGCTGCTGGGATGGGCCTGTGGGTGTGGGAGAGGTAGCTGGAGCAGATGACACAGGCAGATTCTTCACTGGCTGGGAGGGAAACCACAGATTGGCCAGGACACAGAAGGCAGAGGAGCTGGGTCCTACATGCCCCAGGGAGAGGGCCCGACAGTGGGAGGGTGGGAGCCCTCAGTGGGCAGCTGTTCCCACCCGGAGCCAGTGTGCCGAGCGCCCAGGGTGGGAGGAGGGGCGTGGAGGGTGTGGAATGAGCCGGAGCCGGCTGTGGAGGCAGAAGCTGCCTGCCGTTCGTGCTCTGCCGGCACCAGGTGCTACTCCTGCCTGCGGCCCGCACAGTGACTCCCTTGCGCCACCTGGTGGGGACATCTGAAGTTTGTAGGGCACTGTTTCTGTTATTTCCAAGTGAGCCTCAGGCCTGTGGGTTCCTAGAGGGTGGCAGACCACAGTCTGGAGGGAGAGGAAGGCACGGTGCCTGTCCTCTGATGGCAACAAGGGTTGAATTCAAGGAGGTGACTAACGTGGTCTGGTAGTGGGGTGGTGGGGAGGGATGAAGGGCGCCACACCCCTGAGGGCTCAGGGGAGAGGGCAGTCCCTAGCATTTGACCCCTTTCTCTGACCTCGATAATCCCTGCCTGGCCAGTGATTGACCTGCTGACCTTGGGCGAGTCTCGGCAGATGGTCGCCGTGGCGGAGAAGATCCGGACAGCCCTGCTCACCGCTGGGGACATCTACCTCTTGTCCACCTTCCGCCTGCCCCCCAAGCAGGGCGGTGTCCTTTTTGGCCTCTACTCTCGCCAGGACAACACACGGTGGCTGGAGGCCTCTGTCGTGGGCAAGATCAACAAAGGTGACTGGCGGGCATCTCCTGTTCGGCAGCGGTGACCCTACTGGGCACTCTCCTGCATGCCCACTCCCCACCCCTTGTCATTGTCCCTGGGCTTCACTGGGGACCGTGGCCCCGTCAGGCTGTGCCCAGGCAACGGGGCATTTGGCATGGGGTGTTTAGGAGGCGCCTTGGAAGGGTGGGTGCCCAAAGAGTGGGGCGAGGCCGGGCATTTGTAGGGCTGGGGTGTTGTACTTGGGGGCGCCTGGGGGGAGGGAGAGGCATGGAGCATGCAGGGCGACAGAGAGGGCCCTCATCCCTGAGACAGCTCAGTGGCTACACAACCGGCTGCCGCTGGGTATGGGACAGAGTGAGCTGACGTCACTAAGAAAGTCCTAGTCTTTAAACCAATGTGAAAAACACGTGCTGTGTACCTACTCCGTACACAGCGTTGAGAGAGACGCAGCTGAGTAGAGGGTAATAGCCCGGGAGATGTGTTGTCCAGAAGAGCTGACCCAAGGCTCAGTGGGAGACGGGGCGGGGGCGGGGCCCGCACTGACCTCCCCTCCCGGGCAGTGCTGGTGCGGTACCAGCGGGAGGACGGCAGAGTCCACGCGGTGAACCTGCAGCAAGCAGGCCTGGCCGACGGGCGCACGCACACGGCTCTCCTGCGGCTCCGAGGCCCGGCCCGCCCCAGCCCCGCCCTGCAGCTCTATGTGGACTGCAAACTGGGCGACCAGCATGCTGGCCTCCCGGCGCTGGCCCCCATTCCTCCAGCGGAGGTCGATGGGCTGGAGATTAGGACCGGACAGAAGGCTTATTTGAGGATGCAGGTGAGCGGGAAGGGAGGACCCTGGAGGACCTGGGGACGAGTCTGCACCAGTGGGAGCAGAGGGTCAGCCCTCCCGCCTTGCTCTGCTCCTACCCAGGGCTTCGTGGAGTCCATGAAGATGATTCTGGGCGGGTCAATGGCCCGAGTCGGAGCCCTGAGTGAGTGTCCGTTCCAGGGGGACGAGTCCATCCACAGCGCAGGTGACACAGAGACTTCCGTTAGCCAACGTCCCACCCGCAGAAAACATCCTGGGGTCTTCGGTGCCTCACCCTCTTGACCTCTCCACACTCCTTCCTTTGGTTCACCTCTTCCTGGGGCTGCGACCCTGCCACCCCAGATCTTCACCTCGGACACCACGGTCTCCGAAATAATGCCGCCGACCCTGGGAGCCGTTCGGGTCATCCCATCTACCTGGGTGGCCAGGATAGCGCTGTCCCAGGGAAGGGGGGAGCTCTGGGGACCTCCAAGCAGGGCAAGGAGCTTGGCTGCTTGGTCTTGATTTTGATGGAGATGAGGGTCCTGGGTCTTTTTTAGCTCCCACTGGCGGCTGTCACCTACCAGCAGTTTCTCTGAGAATTGTCCATCTGCTCCGTCCCTCTGACAGGGACACACAGAGGCTCTAAATACCTAAATAAAAGGCCCACGGCTCCCAGATGTTTCAAAGAATGGGCTCTTGGGGTAGAAGCTTGGGAGGAAAGAAATGGGAGGTATTGGGACCCTGGCCCTGCTTTGGGGCCCCTTACTTGGGTCCCTCCTGTCACTACCATGCCTGGGAACCAGAGGGATTTGGGCTTTGACTGCGAGGCAACTCCCTCCCTCTGTGCTGCTTGCCTGTCACCTCTGTCCTACCAGCCAACAAGCCGTCTTTGTCCTGAGACTCCAGCCCTTTGTCCCTGTCCCTTTCCCTTCCCATCGCCGGCCGGGCCCCTCTTCACACCCCTGCCCCTCTGACTGTGTTTTCTCTTCCTCCCTAGTGACCAGTGCACTCCACTCCATCCTAGGTGAGGAGGGCCGAGGAGGCGGAAGGGGCCCGAGGTGGGGAGGAGGTCCCCGGCTTCGGCAGCCGCCTGCCACCAAGTCCTCTGTGCCAGGAACGGGGCGGAGTTAAATGTGGTGGCGGGTGGGCAGCACTGGCAGCAGCTGGCTTGGTACCCAGCGAGGGACCGGGGCTG